AAATCATTAAAAAAAAAAAAAAATATCATACATACATAGGTATACCCGTGTCTTATTAATTACGGCAGTATTACAATATATTATTGTTGTATCGCCTCACGAGTCCCGGCGAGTCTGCTCTCGAAAATCATGTTGCACACTTCGTTTAATCGTTCGTAATGTTTACAATGACTTTATATTATGATGAACAAATCGCTTATGCTTGTCAACTGCGATTGCATCGAGTTTATCGTTTAATTGCGTACGTTAAATCGCGCTATTGCACATCGCACACGCGATACTGATCTGTTCTAGATGACGTATAGTTATTACTTATTATTGATATTTATCACGAGGACGCCTCACTCGCATATTGCGTCGTCACTGTCCTACGAACGCACGACACGGCAAATGTGTGCGATAATAGCGTAGGGTTCGGATTTCAAGGCAAATACACTTTTGTTTTAGACAACGATGAGTTACCGACAAAGTGACTTTATTGGAAGTCTTTATTTGATCCGTCAACTTTTCAAGCCACACATTTATGCACCTTTTTCTACACATTGTTCTAGTTACAGATTGTGAATTGCAAAATTAAAAAAATAATTCTTACACAAAAGCGTGTTATAGTTGTAGTATATTGCACGTGGTATATTCGTATACGATCGAATGCTTTAATGCCTTAAACCAATAAGTAAGTAATACGTATAATATGGTCGTATGGTACCATATACTAATATTGCACGATACTATATTATAAATACCCATTGACACTAAATATATTTAAATTATAAATAATTTACGTAAGCCTGTGGCTTGGTGTGGGACGGTGACTTCACAAAATAATGTGATGTGACTGCCAGCACCGGCCGGTGCCACTATTTCCCGGATGGGTGACCACCAAATTCTTACCAGCACACAGACATACCTCTATGTGTTCCAAACCAACCATACCCTCCTCCATGGTTAATAATCTACTAAAAAACCACCCAATGCCGTGCCGCGCAGGTTAATAAATAAAAAAATAAATTTACGTGACTTGTAATTAGTTATTAGATAGGTAATTGGTAAACCAATAATATAATCGTATTATACATATAACCTGAGTCAACAATTATAATATTCACTATTATATTCCACTATTTTTGTGGTATTATTATGTGTTCTATTATTCGCATGTTTCAAACTACTGAAATAAAACATACCGATTCTTTGTTTGCAAAAATATTTATATTTTATATACATTTATATGGACTCCTATATTATATTAAGTGGACTGTAGACTCAACATGCCAAAGAATTATTTCTCATCTTGTGTAAAAAAGTAGTCTAATAACGGACAGCAAACTGTCTAAATAAATAAAGTCTGAATACCAAAACACGTCAATAAAATGTCCACTATTCAACATAGTTTATCCTGCCGCTGACTTGAAAAAATGTAAAATAAATTAAAATATTGATTTTTACTACTGTTGTATCATAATACTATATTTTTAGTCTTGATATTTTCTAATCACATATATTTTTAAAATATAACTAAATAACTACATATTAATTTTTGTTTTTTTTTTTGTTTTAATAAATAAAACATTTGAGTGGAAATACATTTTTTTATGTATTTGAATTCACCAAGTACAAATAATACACAAACATAATTTTTAAAATACAACAATTTTTACTCAGACTTCACAATGAATAGACAACGGGAAGTACCTGTTTATTACAGCTCGTTTACTCATAGAATTTTAGGAAAAAATTGTTGGAAAACCTACAGCGAGTGACTATAGCATGACGATTGACGAATGCGGAATGGCGATAGACAAGGTCACTAGGATTGGTAACAAAAGCATTACATTTTATCTTTGACGGGACGGGTTGTGACCAGTATGAAGATTTAATGTATGTTGTCATAAAGTAAATATGTCACGCGTATAATGCGAGAGATGTAATAATTTTATGACCGAGATTGTATAGCCGGGAATAAAACCATAGGATTTCTAAGGCAATGTAACTATATAACATCGGTGGTAATAATTCTGCATTTTTGATCCCAGAGACGAAACGCAGACTAGTGTACGACGAACGGAAGATGGAATTTTAATGTCGCTAGATGAATGAAAGAAATATGAACGAACCAGCAACATATTATAGTACTGGATGCGTCAGAAAGTCAGAAGTCTCGTCGCGAACACTATGCCGAAGCGAATCCAATGAAATTCAACGTTTAAGTCGACATTTATTGACAAGAATACACTGTCGTATGAATGTGGGGGATAAAATTGCAAGAAATGTAGACAACAAAAGGCAAACACGTATTGAAGACAGGGGTAAACATAACGATGTGTACGGACTAAGATATGTTTCAGCACAAACTATAAATAGAATAACTTGAGTTAATGTTAACTATTGAGTTATAAGTATACAATACAACATAAAATATCTGTTTATAGAGTATGCCGGCGTAATCTTTGATTTCTTTTTCTCTGGGTCACTCGCAATGACCAAACTCATACACGCAAATTGAAACAAAAGTTAATAATATGCTATTGTAATTAAACAATATCAATGAGGGTTCAAACACTCCCTCAAGCATAAATATCCTAACCTCTAAATATGCCACTATAGGTACTTCAACTATGATATTATAGTATAATTATATCATTATAGTATTTTTAAAAGCACGGTTGTACTAATAAACGTATATCAACACAACGTATTAACACAATAATAAGACATACCTATAGATATATTAGTGATATAATTCAGTGATTAGAAAGTTAGTTCACGTTCATCTTGTTAAAAGGGAACCAATAAAAATTCCTCGTCCCTGGATTAAAAAACATTTTTCGTTCCTCAATAATTTCAAAATAATTTTAGTATAATTTCTAGCGGTATATCGTTTAATTACCTATGTAGTTCTTTTGTTTTTTTAAAATATTTTCAGACATAGGTTCAATTATGTACAGCTCACTCTGCATGGCTCATTATATTGACGGAATTAAAAAAAAAAAAACGTTTGTCAATTATTTTTGTATTTATTATTTTAGAATTTATGAACGAAAAAAGAAACAAATAAAATCGTTCATATGGTAATCTAAAAATTGAACAAAATCATTGGAACGAATTCCTTTGAAAGCAGTCTTTCCAAACACTGATTATATAATCACTCGATTTAAATAAGAGCAAGTAAAACAATAATTTGATATTCTGTAATAGTAAACATTTTCCAACAATTTATTAATAATTACAAATTATAAATATAAACATTTGAACAAATTATGCTAATTACTTATTTTATTAATTTTATGTATTATTAACAAAAGGTTTCAGTTTGTATAACATTACTTAATAACTAATAAGTTTCAAAACCATTATCCATAAACACATGATAAAACGTGCATGATACTTTAACACTTAAAATTATTATAAAAAATATATTTTAAATATTATATAATATATAGCATTGTAATAGCAAGACAATTATACTTTATAAGTAACTTTAGTACCTACTTACGAGATACCTAATAGATATACATTTTTAAATGTCATAAAACAAATTGTAGTTTTAGGTATAGTTACTGCACTAATGCCTGTATAATTAGGAACGCATATTATTCCTTGAGATTGTTTTAAAAAAAATTATTTTCTAGTAAACACATTATCTATTATTGTGATTAAACCATTAAACACAGTCTCTTTTCTATTATGTAAATTGATATGCCATTATTATATGTACAGGCAAAACAAACTTTAAAGGGTTTCCGTGAAATTCGGTAGGTATATAAAACATTTCTAAGCGTTTTTTAACATGTTGCTATATTTTAGTTTTTTTTTTACTTAACAAAAAAAAAAATGTGAACAATCAATTTTAGCAACTCAGATCCTCTTTGTATATAGCACTATGCTTTAGGGTTGTATCAAAATTCGTATTAAAAAGCATAAGCATAATATACAAACTGATAAATTAATATTAATTATAGTTGAATGTATCGTATAGGCATACTGCGTAATATGAGAACGTGTACCTATCGGTGTTTTTTTCAAGAATTAGTTATGGATGGAACATGAGTAAATTATACTTGACATTTGATACGTATAATGCACCATCGCACATTAACCCCCCAACGACAACTGTGGTTGGAGACATTTTACGTAGAAAAAAATGCAGTCAGATCTGGCGTCCGCTGCAATAAAGCGTTTAAAAGGCACTGTGATTTTTCGGGGGTTTTGCACACCGCATTTTACATATTATGCATTGTATTACAATGTCACTTCGGGCAGTCTACCCACATTTTTGTCCGATTATCTTCGGATTCGGTGTGTATCCTGTTTGTAATTTACTTTTATAGGTGTCTCATTCAGAAAACTTAGCCAGTGTGAAATCGTTTAACGCGCCCACGGGGAAAAAAAAAAAAAACGGGGAAAGAAAGAAAGAGATAAAGGGTCGTCGAAAGGGCGATCGTTTGATTAATCGTCGAGTGGCCTCCGTGATCGACGGCCTGGTGCACTCGGACCGCTGCCGCTGCAGCAGTCTTGTAGGCACGGGACACATGTTGAATGCCATTATGGGCACAATACAATATAATAATATGTGCGGCAGGAATTTCGTGTACCGTGATGAAATTATAATATTATCAAGCTCGCTACTACTCTCATTGGACAATGCAAAAATATAACCTATATAATATTGTATCTGCATGTCATGCACATAACAATAATGACACATTGTATAAAATATAATATGTATATTACATACCTATATACCGTAAACCTACGTAGGGACCTAAACTAATCGGCGGGTTACACGTCGGCGTGTCCTCCGCACGCTGCAAATTGTACGGAGAAAATACACACTTGTGTTACGGGAAAAAAAAAACAAAACGAAATTAGAGTTATAAATAAATAAAGCACTATTGCGCTTCCTCCCCTCCCCCCCCCCCACTCTCTTTAATGGTGTTTTCTTACAAAGTTATTGTGATATCCTATAATAATTGTTTATTACAATAATATTATGATTTACGGTTACAATATATTCTTAAAACGTATAAGCTCTAACGCTAAATATATATATATATATTATATATTATACAGTCGTGTTTGCAGTCGATAGAATTTCGCATGATACAAACCCTCACAAAGCTATCGGCCCAACCATTATAGTTGTGGTGTTGGTGTATAGTTGGAAACACAAAAGTTTCTAAAGCTCAAACGGTAAAAATAAAGTCGAACAAAGTCCAATAAGTTTGCTGGATGTATTTCAAAAGTATCTGTTGTATGGTTTTGCTGCTAACATTATGAGGATCATTACAGACGATGTATCATGTAAATATTTTTCGAAAATCCACTCCCCCCCCCCCCTTGAACAACCTCTGGAACCGCTACTGGTGTCGATAACTTCTATCGGGTATAATATTATATTAAAACAACCCGGTGGCGATTACCCCGTTTATTCCGTTCGGTCGAGCTGCAATCGACTAGGCGTTGTTCAGCGACTTTCTCGGGACTCACTTCTCGTGTAACCGTAATTATGGCTTCCGGTATGTTCATTACCTGCAACACATTATTTCACTCGTCAATCATAATTGATGCGGTGCCAGTGGTGGTGGTGGTATATTAATTATTCCATCGACGACTAGATGTCAGAGATGAGAAAAAAAATTAAGAATACATACGGACATAAACTGTGTGAGGAAAAATGAGTTTAACGACAGATTATATTATTATGAGTACGCGAATCTAATGGGATTAGTCGAACGGTCGTTACCACTGACCACAAACAAATACGTACTAAATAGTAAATGAACCAAATCGCTATTATCTAACTGATATAACGATTAACGAGTAGAATATTGTAAACTGATTGCGTCGAAAGACAAACAGTATAAATAATAATTAGTTTGATAAGAAATCGTTGGTTTTCGTCGTAAGGTCGTTCGTTGGGTTTCTTGGCAAAATAATTTTAGTTTCAAACTTACCCAAACTCATATTATATATTATAATAATATATTGTAAACAAATTAATGTCTGTATATTAAATGCAACAGCCTTATTGATTAATTAGTTATTTTTTTATTGATAATAACTGCCTCGGTAATGTCATTGAATAAGTCTTATCTTTAAAAAAAAAAATGATAATGATTGTAACTATTTAGTATGTTTTTGAAAACAAATAAAAATATACAACAAACAACAGAATGTCGAAAAAAATTTAAAGCATAAGGTTATGACATTTTTTTCATATTTTAACGTTTTAGATTCTGAGCGAAGCGGAGTCTGTATATTGATTTAAAATAAAATAAGTAATCTTATATTTTTTTTTTTAAGTGCCTGAAAACATTTTTAACAGTTGTACCTATTAACATTGCTTCGATCTTAAACTTCAAGAGTGGTTTCTGATGAATTGGAACTAATTGATTATTTGAGATCAAAAGTGTAAAAAATTCCCAGTACCTTCCTATCTATTTTTCTAAATAATCGAGAAAAACTAATATATACAATGCAATATCGATATAATAGATTTTCTTTTTTTTTTTTATCAAAAATAATATTAAAAATGAATAATAATTAACTGTAAATAATTGAAAGTTAACAAAATATCTATATATAATCATTTTCTAGACATGGTATATTTTTCAAAAAATTTTTTTTGTTTTAACTATAGGTACCTACTTATAAATATTTTTTTTAGTTATGCCCAGTCAATAAGTTTGAAAATTGCATACACGGTTGCTCATAAGTTTTTTTAATAGTATTTTAAGAATATCAAAAATACATAAATACAGCTGTTTTTTATAAGATTTTTAATTTGAAATTTTGAAGAAAACCATCAAAACCTCGAAAATTATTTTTTTCCAAAAACATTTTTGGTTTTAAGAGTTAAGGCTTGAAAATGTAATAAAAAGTTCTTCCTCAGTTTTTTTACAGTAACTTAAAAATATAAAAATACATACAATTATAATATATTTTTTTTATATAGCTTTAATACTTATGTTTAAATCTGTACAATCATGGATATTTTATTAAATTAACAACAGATAGACAGATAGTTATCATATGAAATAATAATATTATTATTTATTATTATATAATATACTGTACGATATATTTTTGGGGAAAATTAATTCAACCAACCCTATTACTTAGGTGTAAAAAACTAAATTACTAATATAAGTTTAAATATACCTATAATATAATATAGGAGTACCTAACATCCTCAGAAATTCAGATTCCTCTCAGAATCGTTTTTGGTAGGTATACGTATAGTTATAACGATTTTTATATTTGAGTTTAAATTCAAATTAACACATACATTACAATAATCTACTCAATGACGATGAACGCCTACGGTGGGCAACATTTTTTATGTATAACGTTAATTAATATTATATTAAAATTAAAAAAAATAGTGTGAAATTATTGTAAAAGTATACGAATAATTTAAACATTATTCTTATAGTCAGGATCGCTCTAATGGCCCCATTAAATATTTAAGAATGTTTTTATCATACGGTGTGAATTTAAAATTTTTAAAGGTTAATAGGCCATGAGAAATGTCGATAGTTTTTCTATAATCTAATTATAGATTATTTAACCGTATCTAACGAATGATAAATAATACATGTATCAGTAATTAATTTATGTACATTTTGAATGTTATACTATTATATGTATTTTTTCAAATGTTTTACATTCCTCATGTTTTATTAAATTAAAAAAATATTTTGGTGGTATATTTGTGATACGTTATATATTTGCTGTTTGGAGAGGCCCATTATTCTATAAGTCCGGGCCTACCTAGATCAAAATATAATAATTATTAGAATAATCGATAAAATATGGCTTACTTTCATTGCAGTACTCGGTATACTCATCAAACGTGGCGTTGCAAAACGACAGTTGATCATTGGATAAATCGTCAGAAACAATTGGATTTCCTGTTACTGTAAATCGAAAGAAAAAAAAAACAGTATAATCGGTCATTTTTTCAATGATTGGCAATAGTCTTAATTTACTTTGAAATGGAACACATAATTTTTCATCTAATACATTTGCCCAATTGTTCTTATGCGAGTATGTGATTTTTTCATACGGCGTGATGCCTTGAATTCCTTTTTGTGTCACCATAAACCATTGACATCTGTACCATAAGTCTTGAATTTTCCCACTCCCTATACGGTTTTTTTAATCATACAAATATCATTGTTATGGGCCGTATAATATTATTTTCAATTATAATATAAGATTGACAAAAATTAAGTTATGAATATTTTTCTTAAATAATAATTATTTTCATAAAGTTCAATCACAAATATAATGAAAAAAATAATAATATTTGTGTACCGATTAGCTATTTTATGCAATTTATAATTTCAATACTATATTATCATTATTTAAATTTTCTTCACGGTGAAAACAATTATTAATGAAATACGAAATCAGTCCGAATGTACTTAAGTAGGTAGGTTTCTAGTAAAAAGAATGTCTATTGTATAAATATGTACCTATGTTAAACACAGTCGTATACAGTGTGTTACACTTTTTATCTTGAACTATTCTCTTTATCTTATTTTCTTAAGTCAGTCTCATATTATATGTTTAAATACACTTAGTATTAGGTACTTACCCATATTGTATAAGACATTTCTTGTGTTTTTTGTTAACTTTTTAGACGCCTCGTCGAATGTGAAAAATATTACTACATCCCCCACTTTAACCATGTGATCAAGCCATTCATCTAAATTTGAGCTATTATACTCATACGTATCAAAGTTTTTAACATCCATGATGGTATATGTAGTTGACTCTATCACGGCTACGTTGATTCCACGACCACCTGCAGTTCGGTTAAATGACATAACGCTATATAAATTTAAAAAAAATTAAATTGAATTAAATTAATCCAACAATTACGGAATAATAATTGAATCGATTTTCCCAAAACGCAGTTTTAATACATACTATTTGCCCATGATACACAACCTCGGAAAGTCGGTTTTATTTTTTCCTGTATATATATGAATTGGAAAAGCATTGTCCGAGCAAATGGTTTGTAATCCACAATTTGGTAGGATCTCGATTACTTCAATTGTTGGTTTTCCGTCATCGTATCCTAAAATTACAGACATAAATTAATTAGTTACCTAAAACTTTGTATTTCTCTCTCAGACCTTAAAAGTAAATATTGAGAGATTTATGAAAAAAAAAATTATAATATTTATGATAATATCGCCAATTAAAATAAAACATTGTAAGACCAATATAAGCACGCATCATCTGAAAATGTGTACATTTTCAAATAGCATTAATAATGTAGGTATTTTAATGTGCTCATAAATCGTGTCGAGTCCGATAAAATGGACTGATTAATTATAATTATAGAATTTAAACTTAACAATTGGTGAGAGATGAATAATTAGATTATCATTTATCAAGTACCTACGTAGTAAATGCATGTTTGAAATTAATTAAACTTCAGAATCAATTATTAAGGTAGTGCCCACAAACGTATGTACCCAGCTTTGTGCTTAAATGGCGTATATTATTCATCAAAGGTGCTAATTGTCAATCGATTAAATGCATTTGGCAGATAAAAGTAGGATTGTTTATTATAATTTATAAGTATATACTAGTATAGGTATAAGTACCTACATATAGTTATAATATATATATCAATGCTGTATTGTCGACGGTGAACTCTTTGACAATAGTCTGTCGTTAAAATTATGGCCAATTAACTAGAATTTATTTTTAACAACATATTGTGCAAATATCGCACAATGCCAAGTCATACTATGCGAAGTACTTAAAATCTAATGAAATGTCATTGCATGAATATATAATAATATGTGTAATACCGATTATTGTAAAATATAAATATACGTCACGTATATGCACATTCGGGTTTTATTTATGAATATTTGATCACGCATAAAGTTTACGTATTTACTGACCGTGTGACGTTTTGGTAGAGTTCCATGAAGTCTTAGTGATCGATATGGAAGATTTTTCATTCTTCAAGTGGAAATAATCCATGTAAACCGACTTGTATAGTAAAACAACCATTACGATGATCAAGCAGATCACGAATCGGAATGACGGACCTATTTTAATATAGGAAAAAAATAATACATCAAGATATCGAAGAAAAAATTACATTATTTCCGTGAAGTCCACTATCGCTCGTATTGGCTTACTCGACAGGATGTCGCAGAGCGAATCGTCCTTTCTCGTTCTGTTGTTACCATGATCACTTACGCTATCGCCGGCCCCGTTTCTCAAGTCACGTACAACCGGCAACAGTCCCAAAGTGTCCTTTCTCTTATTTTTTCTTGTAAAATTCCTTATAAAACAAGCAATTATATAATTTTTAGATTTACATTTTCAATTGTTGGATGATAATAGCTAATTAATATTTAGTTAATAGATATTATAACAATGCGTAGTGTAATAATAAAACAAAAATGTATGTAATCTATGCATTAATGATTATACTTTCTGGTATTCAACTTGAGATTTATGTATTATACTTATAAATAGGTACTATTAATTTAAAATCATATTTAAAATAGTAATTTGTAGTTTGTAACAAACTTACGCATAGTTATACAATACCTACCTAGATAACCTATGGGTTAAATTTCCAAAATTAGATTGTATCTTATTTATTGTTAACATAAATTCTGCTTTATAGTAATTTTTGAGTATACATCGTCATTGAATAGGTCACAGTAGTATATAATAATAGATGTATTCAATTTGAGTTCAGTGATTAATCATTATATATACGAAAAACGAATTTTATCGGAGACTGTCCGCCTATATATTTCTAATAATAATTAATTATATACTTATATTGCAATTAGTAACATATATTTATATTAGTAATATGGCCGCTAATATAGGTTGAACTAATTTTTGCCAAAAAAAAAAAAAATATTATGTAATAATTATAGTAATGATTTTATGTGTACCTACTTAATATTACAATCTATATTAACGCACCTACAATGGTGCGAATAGGTGAATGCAATGGTATAAATAGCTTAAATATTCTGAAAATATTATTTTATTGTGTTAGCGTCTAAATAATAATGCATGTAATGGTGAAAAGTTACAAGTCCCTAAGAATAATATTTTTTGAATTATATAATCTTCAATAAAATAACTAAGGTCTACATTTTTCGTTCGAATACCCAATTTTGTCAATATTGTAAAAAAGGTTGTAAAGTCTATAAAAGATTGTGCATGATATGTGTTTTTAAATTATTTAAGTTGCTGCAGTAAGATCAACTACCTTCTAACTTCTAGGTCTATTGTCAAATTTTTTTTACCCATAAACAACATTTTTATCATACATAAACAAATTTAAAAGAATGTAATCATTTAAAAATTTCAATGCCACGCAAAAAGAGCCAACATTTAAAAATAACAATATCACGTCTAAAAATTGAAAAGTACTGGAATTGTTTACATTCGATCCCCATATAAGACCGAATAGATCCGGTTTGCATCAAATTACTGCATCAAACACAGATAAAAAAAACACACTTAATTATTGTAAAACCAAGAACTAGAATCTAAAACAAATAATGGCGATAATAATGTAATGTTCATTCATCATGAAAATGTAGATTAAAAATATCTTATTGTATTATGACCTTATATTATATATGATGACTAATGTATGTTTTGTACCATCACTATTTACTATATTATTAAAGTCTAATCGGTGATTAGTTATCGCTTATCTAACTATAAAGTAAATAATTATAAAATGAGTAGCCTAGCTAACTGCCCAACACAATATGTATTTGTCACACGTCGTATCTTTGTCTATTATTCATACATCCAAGTAAATTAAAAAAAACTTTTTTAAAGATTTTTTTAATCTGAAAGATCGTTAAAAGTGTGCCATTGCTTTAAGTTTATTTTAAATTTAAAAATAAATAATTACAATTTATATTTTAAGTAAAAGAAAAATCAAAATATACAAGAACTCGTATAATATTATGATATTGTATAGAACATATTATACTTTACAGTGTACTATTAAACGGCATTATATCACACTTAAATCTTAAATCTTAAATTAAGTAAATATTAATACTATTGCATTTATCTAGAACCTTCACTTTTAGTATAGGTATGATGAGATTACTTCGATTGGTATAAACAGATGCTCCGAATTTATAGATCATGTGAAGCGATCACTTCACTCTTTCAATTTAAATGACTGTGAAGTTGTTGTGGGTGGGCTGGTTATTGGATAACAATTTTAGATTTCGCTTCACAAAAAATTTTAGAGTTCAGCGCCTTTGCGTACAATCGTATTATATTATCATTTACCAGGGTATTTTTTAAAAGTTTTTTTTCCATAATTTACCTATAAATATAAGGTTGTCATTATGTAGACAGGTACACTAGGAAGTAGAAATATGTTATTTAAATTTTAAACACTTAAATAGTATAGAATATCAACTCACAAATCAAACTATACTTTAAAGGTTATTTTTAATTTAATTGTAAGTATTACAAACTATAGTAATAATGAGAGCAAGGATTTTCAATCATCTGCATACCAACAAGTTTTCTAATTAACATTGTATTGTAAGCTTGGAGCAAGGTTGGGTGTGGATATTAAATCGCTTGTTTTCATATTTTCAGTGTATAGGTCTTATTTAAATGATTGAGACATGTATAAAATATGCATATATTGTGTATTTTTTATAAATGTTTTACATTTATAATTGATGTAAAAAATTATAATATCATAAAAACGTAAAAGATAAAAATTGTATTTGGTGGTAGTCTTCAACGATAATAATTAATTAATGATTTAAATGTTGGGTAAAAGTGAATGTTTGTTAAGTAGGTACTTATAAGTTAAAGTGCGTATATTATTTTATATATTTTATTTGAAAAATTACATTAAATTTACCGAAACAAAAAAACAACGCATGATAACTCCTATATTATTTCCTTAAATCGTCTATACAGTAAGTTGTTCGTGTACAAACTATATGATTATTTAAATATTTAATTTGTTTATAATTGTGTGTATTACGGATATAATTTACATCGTTTTATATAAATTACTAATTTTTAATTGCTATTTATTTTAGATTTATTGATTATGATTGCTCTAAATCGTTATCGTTATAATAAATAATAAACATAACTTTATAAATGTATACAAATTAATTAAATATAAGCTTCATAAAAAAATACCTAATTTAATAACTATGCAATTTAAAAAATTTAAAAATAGGTACTCAATAGGCAATTTATTCGACACATATACAAGTAGTTTTGCTGTACCAGAGTTATACCCGAAAAAAAATAAGGTATATATTTTGTTCTTGTGGTTCATAATACTTAATAGGTATTATAAGTTTTTATATGTTTTACAAATTATAAGAAACAAACACTATAAGATGGAATTTAAACGAAGATGTGCCAAACAATAAAAACACTTACATATGAAACATAAATACTAAATAGCTTTGGTGCATAATAAAACATATTGATAAATACATTGATATTTATATAAAACAGGTTAAGATAGAAATAAGAACCTACTTTTATAAAATAGGTTCTTGGCACAATAACTATAATCATTATTATGGAAACAAATAGCAAATACAACCAATGCTGTATTTTTAAAATATATGCGCGGGGGAACAAAAAAAACGACCCATTCACACAAAAATATTCACAACTTAAAAAACCTGCAATTTTTCCGGTAGATAGTGAAGGTTAGGACATTTTCAATGTTTATTGCTGCTAAAGCGTTAACACAATAATTATAGTGATAATAGTATAAATTATGTTAGAAAATTTAAAAAAATATAATATTAATCGTAAGAAATATTGATTATATTATAATACGAGAGGATTAAAACAATGTGTATTTTTTAAAAAATCAGCCACTCGGGGAAACAGACTCTAAACACGACCCCGAAAACAACTCTTTAAAACCCTAAAAAAAAAGAAATCGAAACATCATTCTTGAATAGCTTTACATTGAATATCGTCGGGTGCAGTATATTACTATATAGTATACTACAACGTTATCATCCGCGTTATATACACATAAATAAGCAGTTTCGTTGTTCACAATCTCTCGTTTTTGCTGCAGCTATGCAATGGTTTGATAATAGTACAATATTATTTAAAAAAAAAAAAAAATAAGAAATTTTACTGCCGTTCGATGTCCGACAACCTTTTGAGGGCCATCGAAGCATTCCGATCGAATACCATCACACGTAAATACTATAATGTACTACCTATACGTACAGACGCTTGAAGGCTGGCAAGTCAAATTCAAAGTACCTATGTTAACTGTGCCAAATACATTGAACAGTTGACTATGCGGTCCGCGCATACAAATTTATCTCAAAAAAAAAAAACATTTTATACAAATTGTTTATCGTGTTCGTTGCTCACAAGTTACAATAACCATAATATCGCATACAATACGTATTCGATCAAAGTTAATCAGAAGATAAGACGAAAGTAACATAACGTATACCTCTGGTAAGCACAGTTGCAGTGACACGAGAGGAAAATGATATGATTTTTTTTTCCGGTCAATTCTTCACTGTGGTCGTTATCGGCGGACCTAAAAAAATCAGACGGCAGCCGTATGCGGCCCGCTGACCGCGTGTTCGACACGCCTCTGCTTTACGGCAGAGTAATACATTCCATCGGCTCATGCAATACTATCGTTCACTGCCGCAAGTGACAAGCAAGCGCCCGTGAAATGTATGTGCGCACTTACCTCATCACCTGCCTACACGGCTATATATTACCTAATATTTAATTACGCACTTGTATGTGATGGCTTACCTGCTGATCATGTACCGGTGACTGTAAACGGAGTAATATTTGGTTGGCATGTCGTCGTCGTTCGCGGGACAGCGGTGGCTGTTACCGAGGATTTTGAACTATAATTCGACTGATAAGGTGCGTGTTGATATTATTACTGTTCTGTTATCACTCGGTCTCCGCCGACGCTGAGTCGTATAGGCATACAACCACCGCATTCGTGACCGATCGGCTGGCGGGGGTGAATGCCGCATAATATAGGACGAGCGTATTGATTTTTCACGGCCAGCTGACGGCCGTCGGCGTCCCGCATCGCCGTCCCGCGGCAGGGTGAGGAGGCGACGACAATGCGGTGGTGCAGGTTGCAGGGTTGTTTTATATAATATGTGTACCCAAGACTAATATACTGCAGATATCGTCTATCGCGGTCGCAATAGCTGACATAGAGATCTGGCCATATTTTTTACGAAATCCGATTTTTTGTCGCTCACATGACTGTAGCAGTGGTTGTCTACATCAGAGTCCTTCGCCGCAAACGTCTAATAAAACACATCTGTTCAACTGTTCAGTGAGAATAAATGCACTATACAGACACAGTAAACATAAAATATAATAAGACAGGAGGTTAATTAAGAACCAGAATAATCTATTATGGGGTGTGTAAGCTGCAGGGGAGGAGGGGCGTCGCACACCCGTGGAGAGATTATTTCCACGGGGCCCACACGCACAAAACCTTTAACGGGGTAATCATAATCAGCGCCGGATGGGCAAGGCCCACCGAGTTTTACGATTTTAACCGGCCCTAAGAAAGTTAACGGCCCATTTGTCAATAAGATAAAGTCATTAATAGCTATCCATGTTTTAATAATAACATCGTAATATATAATATCATACAGTATAAATAATTATACATATTATATTAAGCAGTTGACATAGATAAATAATATAAAGATACTACTAAGCCGGCCCACCGAGTTCAACTCGGTACCTCGTCGGTTCTATCTGGGCCTGACCATCATTAAGCATACATAGGTACTTTGAAAATGAACCAAACACCACCACAGTATCGTAGGCGCGCATTCGGTGTTAAACTTGGGAGTGCTAAAATGTTTCACTCCAAAGGGACCCTCGGGGGCTTTGAGCCCTCGCCGCCTACAACGCCTATACGGTTGTACACATCGGGCATAGATTAGTTTCATTTCAAATAAAATTATAAATTACTACGTTAAAAAGAATCCAAGTGTAGGTAGCGAATCTGATTTTCAATAAAAAATCGTTTTTTGACCTATACATTTTAACCGATTATTTCAACGACTATGACGTTCTTCGATGAACAAGGGATGCAATCAGGACCATACACGTTTTCCCTGCTCTCATCACTTTCATTTTGTTCAATTTAATTAATGTTTTATTAACATATTCAAACAGTAAATACGAGTTTATGTCCGTGGCATCAGTGCATTTCCGAAAGTCCGATGCAAACTGGAGTCTGGAATAAACTCATTCTTATAAACGCACAATTACACTTTAAACAATATTTCTGACTGAAAATAATCTGGGGATGCTAATTAAGTACTCTGCAACCCATATGTACGCCAATTCACAGCATACAATATATCATATACTTATTTGTTTTTTGTTGCCAATCGATCGAAGTCACAAAAAAAATAATGCTTTTTACAGACAGCGTTTTACTATATTTATGTAAATGTACCTGATTTTGTCGAATTTTATGAAAATTTGCACTCCAAACGCTCATAAGAAAAAATGATGTAGATTTACGTTCAACTTTTTTTTTAAATTCCTGTAACAATTTGTGATAAATCTTATTTGCAATTTTTCAAACTTTTTGAACAAGAATACATTTTTTAATCGATATTTATGGGGAAAAAATTAAAAATCAATCGAAAAATTCAAATATCTTTAAAATGTTGACAATAATATTGTGCAATGTACCCAATTTGTAATATAATGTATATTATCTATAAACATATCATAATGCTATTACAAACATTTGGTAAAATTTCAAATAATTATGCTTATTATTATTTATTAGTTTTTGAACTATAATAAAATAACAAAATAAAAAATCTTGTTTATCCCAAATTTTTTTTTTTTGTTTTTGGCAGTTTTTGTCAATTATTAAAAAAAGTTCTAAGAATTGTTTACCAAAGTACCAACTAGATCCACTTTTCCACCAAAAATGTATTGAAATTAAAGATTAAAACATTTTTAACTCTCCAATAAGGATGATAACGGACAAGTATAAATACCTACTGATAAACTAAAATAAAAAACACGTCATTGTAAAAGTAATACATTCGTATTTTTCCCAAAACCTAAAGTTCGTCGTGAGTAATAAGACTAATACTCTATCAAATAATAACTATAGCAAATAATTTGTATCTGTGCACACGGTTTCTTAATGGCCAAAGAAGTTCTCAAATATAATGTACCACATGCGGAATCCAAATTACAATCAAACATAATTGAACGGACTGTCTCAAAAATGAAAGAGCAAGAAACGAAATCAATTCATAAGAAAACCCATTCAAATCATAGAATCCCAAGCAGAAATAAACAACCAAGTAAAACATTCATAAAATAAATCATTTATGTAAAACAATTTGATAATATATTTAAGAAAAAATTGTGTAAAAAAATGAAAACACACTTTACGCTATTGACCTTTGTTGCTGAAGAGAATTGATCAATAAAAAAAAAAAAATGTTATGTACATTTATGTTTTGAAATGTTTAATTTTAATTCAATAAATAATTGATCCATTTTATAATCATCTTAATAATTACAATAATTTTCCTTGTCTATATTACCAATGACATTACGCTTGGATAATATTATACAAAAAGATTCTATCCCCGACTGTATGAATTACTTAAATTTGATATCATAATTTAACTGTAGTCAGTTTTGAAACACGAAGAGCAGTTTTGTAAGCACGTTGTGAACCTAAAATTGGTTAAAGCAAATGCTAAGGGTGTTATTTCACTGCTCGTCTCAGCGTAGAAAATGATATAAATAACTATACGCCTGGAAAAAATGGAAATACTTCCAAAGGTCCAAATTAAAAAAAATTAAAGAATGTAATGTTTAAATACATAAACAAGATTACTTTGCACCGGTCGGAGCCCTTTTTCAATTTTAGCAAATTCTTAACGGGAATAAACATTACTTATACATTTTATCAGTTTTTAAATTTTTTATAACAAATACATTCAAAACTGTTAAAAATATTGAATATTATATGCTCCAATTGATGCAAAGTGAACTTCTTTATCAAATCAAAAATCTCAACATTTTTTAAATCGAACCCCTAGAAGTACCTTGATTTTTATCAGTCACTAAGATCATTCTGGTGAGAAATGTGAAGAGTTTACATGATCCTTAAGAACGATTAAGTACACATGTTAAAATTATTGTGCAAAGATTTATTTTTTTTAAATATTCAACGAGATATTACAAAATACAACTTAAAATCAGCTATTTACTGTTTGGTTTTATTATTCCTGTCGTCATAGGAGTACCTTGGACTCTATTCACGTGGGGGCAAAAATAATTTTTGCGAATCTCTACACATTTTAATAATCTTATTTAAATAATATTTATTCCATTTTTCATTTAAATCATTTTAAGCAAATATTTTTATATATACTATATGTTTTAAACTAAACAATAATAAAATTACTAATTTTTTCACACCCTAATTAATATTTACAGTTGCATACAAATTACAAATAAACTTTATAGAAAACAATTTTTTTTAAACATCAATTTGAAGCCAAAATTATTTTAGTTGCAATTGTCTTCCTAAAATCGTTGATTATGCACCGAATGGGACAATAGTTATATCAAAATTAGGTTAAATTTTTTTTTTGTTTATGTAATAAAGCCAAATCCTTTAGCCTTTCTTGGCCAATACTATTTCGAGTATAAGTTTTAAGACGGCGTAACGACGAAAATGAACGATCTGATGAAGCCGAATTCATAGGAATTGATAAAACAAGTTTGAATAGTTTATATAAATATTATCAAATGAACTTGATAGATCTTGAAGCATAGATCAATTAAGACGGTCTTCAAAGTTATCAAATGACAAATATGTGTTTCACAAGACACATTTTACCAAACAATTTTAACTATGCGTGTAACTCGTCAATTTCTATATTATAAGTATTAGAAACTTTTAAAATATCTTCAAATTTGCAATTTTCTAAAGTTAAAACACGTGTGCTAGCGCCTCAGAACAGTCTACAATTAACTAATACTTAATAGCATAGTTCAGTTGCCCCCATTCGGCCCCGCCAAGTTACGCCTATGCGTGTCGTCATATCATTAATATGTATTAATTGTAATATACTATTATCGGAAAAAACCAAAAAAATTGATGGGTACAACACATAGCTCATATGAAAATAAATAACGGCCACTTCATTTTATATATAATCAACTTATCTTTTTAAATGAGATAGAAAACGTGAAGTGGGGTGAGGATTAATCGATTGAATCTTGAATGGGTATTGGTCGGGGTACCGCGAAAAAATAACCCCGGAAAAAATATCCCCGGAATTTTAGACCCCGAAAAAAAAACCCCCGAAAAAATAACCCCGTGAAAAAATAACCACGGGAAAAAACCCCCATATGAGATTTTGCAAATTAATCTAAATATTGAATATTACAATAAAAAATTACAAAATGTATAACATACCTTACGTACAATTATTATGTTTACACAAATAACGTTAATTTTGGATTCAATGATAAATTATTTATTACCTACGATAAAAACGATTCAGAGCACTGTGCCAGTATGTCAGACGTCTGTCATATCGATCAGATATATAATAACAAGGTACAGCGACGGATAAGAAAGGTACCTTTATCTTTAATGTTCTAGAAGCGGTAATTTATAAAATTTGTGTATTTATAAAATGTCCTGTGCGTGCTCATTTCTCAGTATTACTACAGTGCTACAGTACTACAGTGGTCACTATAGTGTGCTTTCGTAATTCGTATATTATATATTTCTCTGTGCTTTGTTTTAATTTCTATTTGAATAGTTTTAGTGTTATGGACATTCTAGATATTTTCGAGAGCCAGAAGGGCAAAGAAAAGTTGGCATTTAAAAAGCATATGTATGTTGTGCACAAAGAGTGCTTACATTTTATAAGGTG